TAAATTTCATATTGCGTAATTAAGTTTGTATTTTTCTGGAACGGGTTTTGAGTATTTCTCTGAAATATAATTTTCTGTTACATTAAAATCAGATAATGACCCCCTCTACCCTATTTCGAGAGAAGCCGTAGAAAATTATAAAAAAAATGATGACTGGAGTGTTATAAATCCTGGTCATGCAGATGACTATCTATAATCGTACCCCCTATATCATTTTTTTTTTATTTTTTATTATAAATTTTTTTTTTTATTTGTATGTTATATTGTTGTTCGGCAACAATTTTTATGAAATAAAGAGGGGTCCTATGGGCTCGCCATTTTTTATTTAACGCGATTGTGTGAGTAGGCAGAAAAAAATTAGTCAGGATTTAAATGTGTAGAGATAATAGAGTCATATCTAGTTACTTTATTAACCTCAGTTTATCTTTCGTAGAAAGTGCACTTCGTGCATTAATATATACGCATACATATAAAAAGTCACATGATACAAAAAATTCTCGATCATATGTGCACATCAACACCCGTACAATGTAATACGGAATGCACTTTCAAAGAAGGATAAAATTCCGAAATAAATATGCAGAAAGTAAACGCGATCAATACAATTTTATTAGTAGAATAAATTACTGTTTTGGATTTAAGGGGTTTGGGGGATAATATTATTCTTTGCCTGCAGTGCCATATATGCATAAGCCTTTAGTACCGGAGGGGCTTTTGATTGCAATGGAAGTGTTTTTGAAATATAGAGCACTTCCGGGTGATCGTTCGAACGGTATAGAAACCAGTGGTCATCATATGTAGTAATTATACCATATTGAAGCTGATTTTTTACCATATAACCATATATTTGTCGGATCACCATCTTGGCTTTATCGTTTGTTATGTAAAGCTCTGGTAATGTCCGTTCATCCATTTCTTTCAAAATATGCTTTCTCTTAACTTCAAATATCATGACCAAATCATTATTGTGGTAACATGTAAAATCCGGCTCACCAACGTAAGGTTTCCGGCTTGAAAATTCGTAATCCGTTCCCATTAACTCATTTAAGACCGAATTAATATTGGCGTTCACAGCTTCACAAACATTCGATTCATTAAATAATAGACGGTTGTAATGAAATTGTGGCTTTTCAAATACCATTTGTTGTTGATCAAAGAGATGCTCATTTGCTTTTTCTAAAAAATCTTCCCACAGAAGCACTTCTTTTGGTAGTTTACTGTCTACTGATGTAGTGCTTTTTGAATCGCAAGCAAACGGCGAATATTCGAGGGTTGGCGGAATACACGAAAGCGCCTCTTCTTGACTGAGATCTTAAAACAAACATAAAATACTAAAAGAAAAAAAAAACACATATACGTTGTTCTTAGAAATAATCCTCACTTACGTGATGGTGGGTACTGAACATTGGGACCAGTCTTAAAGGTAGTCGCACTATTAGCTGATATTTTCTCCTTTTTTGGCGAGGTGCCTATGGCGTCTGTGGTGTAATAATTTCTATTTCGCTTTTCTCCCGTCACAGGTATCAGATTAGTTACATCGCCCAAAATTATACGCGTATTGCTTTCATCTTTCCAGATACAGCTTGCTCTATTGATATCATGCTATACAAAAGAAAAAAAAAATAATATCAGATATGAGAAAAATACTTCTCAGAAAGTAAAATAATGTAAAAATTAAGATTAGGATGGATGATGCACAAAAACCTTCGCTTCTTTGTCAAGTCATAAAAAGGAAGACATAACCAACCCCTCCTCCGGAATCAGTAGACCTTCTAACAAATGAAGCTCGCGAACACCTACACTCCCCAGGATGAACCCGGCATGTGCCCAGCAGAACGCTCCGGTAATCATGCAAGATTCCGAAATCCTAACTAGAGGCGTAGCTACAACAGGACCCCGAATAATATATATAGAGGTTACATTGAAATTTTGGCTAAAAAGATTACTTTTTTACAAAAATGTTATATTTGAAAAGTGGTTATTGGTCAAAAGGTTACATTTAAAAGTGGATAAAAGCTTTTAATGTTATGTTATTAAAAGTGGATAAAATTGATAAGTTTTATAAAGGTTATATTTAAAATTTGGATAATAAAATAAAAAAAAAATTATAAAAGAAAAAAATTTTTTTAAATAAAAAATAATGTTATATTTGTCAATTGGGTAAAATTAATTAAATATTAAAGCTTATATGTAAATTATGGTTAATAAAAAGTGGATAAAAAATTTAAAAAGTTTATATTAAAGCTAATGTAACCTCTATATATATTGTTCGGGGTCCTGCTACAACTTACTATAGTATGACATAACTATAGTTACTGATAAGCGTAACTGAATCCCCTAGTCCCAACCGCATATTTATAATACTTTCTTTCTTTTTTTTAAAAAGTTTTTGGATAGAATTATGGACTTCCCGTGATGCACTTGAATCACGGTTGATGGCATTTATAACATCATAAAAAAATGTATAGTGGGCTTCAAGCTCATCCGTACAACCGTAATTATCGAGGATCCAAGTGACATAATGATCTAACGACCATGTCTTGTAAGAAAAAAACAAAAAGTATTGGATTTTCCCTTTTTTGATCTCTTCTAGTGACAGAATGAAATTTTGTTATAAAATAAAATAAGCTGGTAAAGAAGGAACTCAGGTCATATAAGACTCTACAATTTGGATTCTGTAACATACCGGAGAACGCAGGATTTCGCTTCTTAACGAAGTTCGAGATTCGCATAGCAGGTCCCCCTTTTATGCCGTAGCTTAGAAGTCTATTTTCAGTTATTATGAGAAAGTCACCACCAGTAATTTTTTCATTGCGAAAAACTTGAAAGTCATCCTCGTCAAGCTGTAAGTCTTTCTCCCTCCGTAAAAATTCAATAAGGTCGTTTGGTTTCAACTCTTTTATGGCTTCGATTAACGTGGGCACATTTTTGTCTTCTGTTGCAGTAGAGGCGGGTACAGATATGGTTGACATGTTTGATATGGTTGCTGAGATAGGTTTTGGAGAAAACAAATGTACGTCATACATGAATTGTGTCAAATTTTCATTGTCCGGAGGACATTTAGTGTTTAGTCATGGTGATACAAAAGTTGCGTTTTTGATGCATCAATAGTTACTTTTTTGACTAAATTTATATTAATGCATCAAAAACGTAATTTTGAAAATTCTTGTCTGTCCGCACGCGTGTCTATATTTGTACTTTATCACGCGTTTGTGCAATATGATGATTATCATGTGCTCCGGACACACTGTATAGGCAGACTGATTGAATCGATTGCCCGGGTAACTAATTTATATGTTTTACAGAATAACGTAACGTTTCACTAATAAAAAATCACCGCAAATGTCATTTATCGTTATAGCGATAGTGTTAATTTCAGAAAAATGGCACTTTGTGCTTGTGCCCTGTCTCACAAATAAGTTATGTGTGCAGAATTTCTGGCATAGCACAGGTTGTACAATTTCTTTAGAATACCGATATCGATATCTTTTTTTCAGAATATTACCTGTAAATAAGTTATAACTTGAATATTATTTTCTAACGCAACGTACCTGAGGTAAAATTTATAAATTTATTTCAGTCACATGCTTTTTTAGTCGGCTAGCATGAATCATTTCAATGTATAGCTTGCGGGTTAACTTTATTAATTTAAGCGTAAGGCCATACAAATTTGATTACTTGGTTTTCATAACATGAAACTTTTAAATAGACCCGGCCGGCCGGCTTTTTTT